TGTTGTTTGGCGGGCCCGGGCTGGGGATTCGAACCCGCCACCTTAGGTGTATGTGGCTGGCACCTTAGCCGCTTGAGCCACAGGCGCCGAGCCAGCACTTTCTGTTTTTTGCTTGCCAGCACCCACCTTCACCATTTAAGTGTCCAGCCCCAGACCACTCCCTTCCCCCACACTGGGGCTTGTATTTCACACTCAGGAAACTCTTCCCTGTGGAAGCTCTCCCCAAAAGCACTTGCAGTCCCAGCTCCTTGGGAGGGTGAGGCAGGGGGATCGCTTGAACCCGGAATTCAATGCTTCAATGCCAGCCTGGGCAACACAGTGTAACACCTTCTCAAAACAAACAAACAAAAAACAAAGCTCTCCGCTCTCTGTCCTTCCCAACCTAAACTTTCTACGCAACCTCAGCACGTGTATCCCTGAGAGGCCCCAGAATTTCCCTAAAATGAAGATAATGGGATGGGAGACAAGAGTGTAAAGACCTCCTCCATGTTCTAATCCTGGCTTTGCTATCCACAGAATGTGACCGTCAACATTTCATTTATCTCTCCATGTCTCAGTCTTTCGTCTGTGAAACGTCAGGGCTGAGTTTGACAAACTAAAGAAACTGCTTCTTTGAAATCCTAGTCTTGAGCTATTTAAGGTTCCTTAGTGATACTGAAAGCGTCCCTGGTTGTCTTTCAGTTTGACTTTCTGTAGCCTAAAGAAGCGGTCCCCACTCGTTTTGGCACCAGGGACGGGTTTCAGGGAAGACAATTTCCCCCCGAGGGGACTGGGGAGCGGGGTAGGGGGCAGGAGGGACGAGGGGAGGTGGCGGAGCTCTGTGGAGGGGTTGGAGACCGCGGGCCAGGGACAGACAGGTCTTCCTCACTTGCTTCTCCCAATTGCTCAGGTGGAGAGACAGCCGGATCTGAAATATTTTGGTCTTTGTCGCCCCCATGAGGCCTAGGCGAGAGGAGGATTCCTAGGGACCCCAGGTATCCAATAAAGAGATCTCTCCCTCTCCCTCTCCCCCTCTCCCTCTCTCCAATAAATACAGGCTCACACCTGTAATTCCAGCACTCTGGGAGGCTGAGGGTTGTGGATTGCTTGAGCTCAGGACTTGGAGACTAGGAGTTGTTTAACAAGAGACCCGGTGTCTGTTGTGTAGGAATGGGGCTTGTGCAGTAAACCACAAAATGGAGCTAGTCTGGCCCTCTAAAAATAGAAAAACTAGCAAGGCTTAGTGTCCAGCACCTGTAGTCCCCACTACCTGCGGAGACAGGAGGATCACTTGAGCCCAAGAGTTTCAAGTTGTTATGAGGTATGACACCACGGCACTCTACCTAGGTTGACAACGTGAAACACAAAGAGAAAAAACAAACAGGCCGAGCGAGGTGGCTCACGCCTGTAATCATAGCACTCTGGGAGGACGAGACTGGTGGTTCAGCGACGGGTCTGAGCAACAGGCCGACCCAGTCTCTAAAAATAGCCGTATGTTGTGGCGGGTCCCTTTAATCCCAGCGACTCAGTAGGCTTGAGCCCAAGAGTTTGAGGCTGCTGTGAGCTATGATATTACAGCACTCTACCGAGGGCAACAAAGTGAGACTCTGTCACCAACCAACCAACCAACCAACAAAAACAAATACCAGTTTATGTTAAACAGAGGAACAAAAGGCTCTTGGAACCTTTCCTTCCAGGTTGTGTTTCCAACCGGACGGCTTTCTCGAGAACACCCTGCTACTCATTGCCAGCCCTGTCTGTACTTAGGGCAGCTTGAAGGTCAAGTAGCGTCTCTTCCTTAGTTCTTGGAAGCGAACGCCTGGGCGGCTGCTCCTCTTTACGCACAGAGGGAAGGTGCCATGCTGGTAGCAGCGGTCACGGAACTTGAGGACCGAGCGCTAAGAGGGGAGGGTCCTCCAGGGAGCCTGGCGCAGTGCTCGGGCGGGCCTGGGAAACTGTAGGTGGGAAAGACTGCACCCTACTGACTCGTTGGGCACAACTGGGGGAGGGTCGCTGGGAATAGAAAAGAAACGGAAACCAAGGAGGCCTGGGGTCGGGGGAGAGCTTTGAAAGGGGTGGTGCGGAAGCGATGGAGTAAGGGAGATACAGGCTTTGGCAGGTAAGAGACTTACGAGGAACGGAAACACTCATTGGTGTGTCGGAGAAGGATGAAAGGAAGGGGTGTTTGAGTTCGAGGGGAAAAGAAAAACTGGGGATTATGGGGAGATCGTAGAAGAGAGGAGGAGGATCTCCTGAGGAGGGAGGAATAGGGATGCCAAGAAGAGAAACCTCCTGAGAGGCACAAAAGGAGACGGAGGGCCAGACATTAAAGAAAAGTATGGTCCATACGGATCTAAGGGGACGCTAAGCAGATTTTCAGGACACATCATAGGAATTTTGGTTGACGATGCCAGGGACTTGTGCAGCGTCCTGGGAATGTGGAGAAGCAGCAACGTTACAGTAGGGTGTGGGCACATAGAGGCCCAGGGGAAGTTCCACAGCTGCTTGGAGAGATGAGGGATTTAAGGAGGAGGGGAGTGGAGGATGAAATAGGTAAGCAAAGATGGGGGATACAGAGTTTTTTTTGTTTTTTTTTTTGTTTTTTGAGACAGCCTCACTTTGTCGTTCCTGGTATAGTGCCATGGTGTCATAGCTCACAGCAACCTCAAACTTTTGGCTCAATTGATTCTCTTGCCTCAGCCTCCCAAGTAGCTGGGACTACAGGCGCCCACCACAACGCCCAGCTGTTTTTAGAGATGGGGTCTTGCTCCAGCTCAGAGCTGGTCTTGAATTCGTGAGCTCAGGCAATCTGCCTGCCTCGGCACCCAGAGTGGGTGATAAAGAGTTTACTGGCTATCTCAACCCTTAGTTTACCTCTCCTCACTTTTAATTTTTTTAGAGTGGGGTCTTGCTTGTCGCTCAGGCTTCATTTGAACTCCCAGGCTCAAGCAATCCTGCCTCAGCCTCCATAGTAGCTGGGATTACAGACTCTAGCCACCATGCCTGCCTAGTTTTTCTATTTTTAGTAGAGACAGGGTTTTGCTCTTGCTCAGGCTGGTCTCCAACTCCTGAGCTCGAGGGAGCCTTCTGCCCGAGCCTCCTAACTAGCTGGGACTGCAAGAGTGAGCCATACCACCTGTCAGACCCTAGGTTTTATCTGTGCACCTGCTGGGGTTTGTGATGGAAGAGTTCTCTGTTGTCTCTAGCCCCATTTCTAAAATGGGAATGAATTATATCATTCTTGTGACCAGTTGTGGTGATTTGCCATATCTGCTAAGATGTCTGTTCTCTTACCTGGTTATTCTTTGTTTCTTCCTCTCAATGTTTTTTTTCTTCTTCCTTTCAACTTTAAAATAGGCACGGTGCTAGGATTTGTCTCAAATCAGGATGAAATGGACATCTCTTTTGTCCTTACCTGTGTTCCTAAGCTCAAATTGTCACTAACTTAATGACCACTACTGGGTACTCTATACATATACTTCTGTGGCTGAACGGGGCAACTCAGGAGGAGGCAAAAAGAGATGAGCCAGTTCACTGGTCCCCAGTGTTTGCATGGCTTTAAGAGCTCCTTGCACGTGGGGAGCCACCTCCCACTTGAATCTCTGGCCCTACATCTGTGCCATCAGTAGCGAGGCTCTCAAGCACTTCAGTTATCTCCCAAGGCATCACTTCATACACCAGCCCAGGCTGGGTAGGCTCACACCTGCCCATTCTGCCCTTAGCAATTATAAGATGCCCAGCAGCTGGCCCAGCACATTGAGGTCCACTATACAGGATGGTGGAGAGGTGACACGGGCTCCATGGAGTCTCTTGTTTCTGGTACAGTCACATAGTCCTGGTTGCACTGTTCACTTGCTGTGTGACTTGAAACAAGTGACTTCTTTTCCAGGCCTCAGTTTCCTCCCTGGCAAAATAGTAACTGACTTATGGTCCCCGAACCCCTCATCTTCCTACTCAACATCCAGCCATCCTGGCCAGAGGTGAAAGGTACGGGCTTACTCTTAGATCCCTGTCTGTTACCCCCTCTTTATAGACTGGTATCAGTGTCCTATGCTGGAATTCAGTTTGTCCATCTGTAAAAATGGAACACAGCTCCCATTTCAGGGTGCACTGGATGAAATGAGACATCAGAATGTGAGGGGTGGTAGGTAGGCTACAAAAGTAGTACATGTGGCTTTATTAATTCTTGGTGGAAACTCACGGTACCTATTGTGACAGGATCAGATAAATTTTATTTTTGATCCTAATTGCTGTAGTTGAGCAGGAACCTGAACCCACTAGGAACCTTACTCTTCCGGGTTTGAGTTTCTGGTCGGAGTACTTTAAGGCTGCTGTGCGGCTCCCTCTATGAATCGGTCCCCGCCTCCGGCTCAAGAAGTTGCAGTATTCCCGGAAGTTCCCGGCTCAGCCACTTCCGGACCCAAAAGTTTGCTGCGACTAGGTACGGAGGAAGGTGCCGGGGAAGGTAGCAGGCCCAGGAGCGGCGACCAAAGGAGCAGCGGAGGACTTGAGTCTGGGCCGGCGTGGACCCCAGGGCAGCGGCTGGGGAAGACTGAGAAGCACCGCGAGGGACAGTTGGGGAGGCGCTGCGGAGACCGGGGGAGGTCAAGAGGAGAGCGGGTAGCGCATTCCTTGGACCCCTGCTGATCCAGAGGCACAGGCCTGGGGTTAACTTTATTCCCCAAGGCGGGGAAGGGGGCTGTCAAATTCGAAAGCCAGATCAAGAGGGAGGAATAATGGACCTTGGGAAGAGGCAGTCGTTCAGGAAAGGTTCCTGAAGGAGGCAGGTCCCAGACTTCAGGATGAGAAGGTTTGGGCTGCTGGAGAGAGGTGAGAATGCTAGAGTAGGGGTCACTCTGCCACGCTTGTTGGAGATCCGAGGTAAGACTCTGGCCCTTTTGAGGGCTCAGTAGTGTGATTCTGATGGCCAGCCTCCCGGGACTATTGAGAGGATTAAGCGCGACCCTGGATGTGAACACTCAGTGTGAACTGAAGTTTGGGGGACACGAGTAACCTGTCACAGATGAGGCTGGAGGGACAGAGATGTTGCTGGGGGTTCATGCGTTTATTTGGTAGTGTTTGGGGGCTGGAATGAGAATCCTAGACAGAATGAGCCAGTGTGAATGGAGAAGTCAAGATGAGTCATTGTAGTTGTCTGATCAGGATTGGGAAAGGTCGCTGATGCGAGGTTGTGAGAGGGCTTGAATGCTGGGCTAAGGGGTTTATAGTGTGGGCACATCTCTGGGAAAATTTAAAGTAGTGAAGGTGTTAGATCCTTCTGGAGCTGGTGGACTGGTGAGTAGGGTGTACAGGAGGTGCCCAGCCATCTTGGGGGGGTTAAAGTACACAGGATTCCAGAAGACTAAGGAGGAGGTGGCAAGTAGATGCAAGGGGAAGAATTGCCAGGCAGAGGGAAACACATGAACCTTTGCATGTGGAGCTGTGCAAATTCAAGGTCTGGCTGGGGAATCTGAGATGCCATGTGCAGTTGGAGCACAGGAATGAGATGTGAGGTGGAGAAGTGGCCAGATCACCTCACAAAGGGCTTCCAATTCTAAACAGGAACTTGGGCTTGGTCCTGAGGGCTCTAGGGGCCGCAGAAAGGTTTTGAATGATCCAGAAGTCACATTCAACACAGCAGTGTGCCACTGTGGGCGGAGAACTGGCAGTCAGGATCCCAGGAAGAAAGTTGGTGTGGAGGCCCGGGTGAGTTAAGGAAGGGACCACAGCTGGGGCTTATTAACTGATGAGATTGCATGGCTCTTCAGGACATTTCAGGGGGGCAGAAGTGCTAGAACTCAGGGCCTGTCCAGCTTTGGGGAGAAGGGAAGGAAAGGAGACGTTTGAGGTTCTGGACTTGTGTAGGTGTTGGCGCTTCATCATGGTCATCTCCCTTGGGATTAGCAGGTGTTTTCTTTGTGTGTGTGTGTGTGTGTGTGTGTGGCAGGACATAATGCTTGCCTTTTGGATAGGGTGATGAAATTCATTCATTGATTAATTCAACTAATTTTGAATTGGTCCTCTACCCTCTGCTGGGACCTTCCCTAGATTCTGAGGGTAGAAGGTTGATCAAGGTGAGGCTGGACCTGCCTTCCTGGAGAGTGAGAAAGGCAGGTAGTAGAATAGCAGATCAATAACTATATAAGGCATGTGAGCTTGGTGCCTGTAGCTCAGTGGTTAGGACACTGGCCACATACACCCAACCCGGGCCTGCTAAACAACAATGATGACAACTGCAACAAAAAATAGTCGAGTGTTGTGGCAGGCCCTGTAGTCCCAGCTACTTTGGAGGCTGAGGCAAGAGAATCGCTTAAACA